TTGATGTGACCACACTGGGAGACTAGAGCTTGTGATGTGACATTTAACTCCAAGTAAGGCTGAATTGTATGTGGGTAATGTACTTTCTCAGTCTACTTGTGAAGCCTACAAAATGGGGGTGGTTGTGAAAAAAGAAAGGTTTGGGTTGACATTTAGCATGCTAGATGAGTCGGACCCCTTAAGCAGAGAGTTATGATAGACAAAACCAACCCAGAGGAGGATGTGACAGGGGCTATGGTTTGAAGATATGTGCCGAGTTGTCAGATGAACACATCTTAATTTTTTAGTATTTATTTGTACACATATTTTGGGTGGGAAGATACAAAAGCAATAGAAAAGTTCACCTCCAACCCCCCCACCCCTTGCCTCAAAAGAGTTCCTGAAATGGCTGATGAATCAGCCCTACTCATGGAGCTTGCATGCAGAAGGAAGTCAGGTCAAAGGTTCGGTAAAACCTAAGTTAGTATCTCCGCTCTAGGACCTAACCTAGTTCCTAGCTGAGTCAGGTATGACTGATGGCCACAGAAATTTCAGACATAATAATAGCAACTAACATTTATTAAGTGCTTCCATTATACATTTATGTGCTATATACTTTATGTAAATTATTTCATTTAATTCTTTAAACAACCTTGTAAAGTAGAAAGTTTTATTATGGCTCTGAACAGAACCATCACACAGAGAAGTTAGCTCATGCTAAAGCATACTAAGGTTTTAAAATTTTTTTCCTGGAACCTTTCACTAGGCTACCAAGACACTTTCCTTGGATCTCTTTCTATTTCCCTGGCTGTTCCTTTACCATCTCCCTTGCTGAGTCCTCCTCCTCTTCTTTTTTAATGTTGGAGTGCCCCAGGACTTACTTCTTGTTCTACTTCTTTTCTGTAGCTACATAATCTAGTTGATTTCAATACCATCTGTATGCTAACAACTTCCAAATTTATATCTACCCCAGATACATATATCTAATTGTCTACACCTATCTTCACATGAATGTTTAATAGACATCTCAAACTTACCATATCTAAATCAGAGTTTACAAATATAATCTTCGCCCCACACCCCCAAATTTGTTTCTTCTCTATCTCCTCAATTCCCGTAAAGGGCTACTCCATTCTCCCCAGAACTCTGAACAAAACCCTTAGGACCATCTTTCTTTTATACCCTAATTGATCAGCTGTTCCTGTGTTCTTTACCTTCTAAACAGATTCAGAACCTGACCATGTCTCTCAATCATTCGGACTCTAATCCAGGCCATCCTTACTTTTCATCCCAGCTAAGCTAATCTTCTTGCTTGCTCTCTTGCCCCTCTACTCATGTTGCCCATACAGCAGTCACCTTTAAAAAAAAAACAAAAAAACTTTGTATTATGAACTTTTATTTTCAGGTGCAGTCTTGTTCTGTCACCCAGGCTGCAGTGCAGTGGCGTGATTTCAGCTCATTGCAGCCTCTGCCTCCTGGGTTCAAGCGATTCTCCTGCCTCAGCCTCCTGAGTAGCTGGGATTACAGGCGCCCACCACCACGCAGGGCTAAATTTTGTATTTTTAGTAGCGACAGGATTTCGCCATGTTGGCCAGTCTGGTCTTGAACTCCTGACCCCAGGTGATCTGCCCGCGTCTGCCTTCCAAAAAGTGCTGGGATTACAGGCGAGAGCCACCGCGCCCGGCCTATTATGAACTTTTAAAACATATACATAAACACACATAAATAATGATCACCCCCCATCAAGAATTAACATTTTACAAATCTTCATCTATTCACTTCTCTCTTTTCACTTCTACTTTTTCTGGGATATTTTCAAACAAATCCCAGAAAAGTCATCCTTTTAGTGATCAGATCAAGCTACTCACCACTTTCTAATTGCTTCTCATTCAGTAAAAGCCAAGTCCTTTATCATGGCCTACAGGGCCTAGGTGATTTGATTATTCCCCGCCACACCCATTATTCTTGCTGCTGTCTTCTTGACTTCTCTCTGCTTCATTAGAGGGTCTCCCACCCTTGCGGCCCCAGCCAGCATCATCTGGAGAGCTTGTTAAAGCACAGGCTGCCGGGCTCCACCCCCAGAGTTTCTGGTTCAGTAGGTCTAAAGTGGAACTGGAGAATTCATAGCTCTAACAAGTTCGCAGGTGCTACTGCTTCCAGCGGGCATACTTGGAGAACCACCAGCTGCATTGTTCTCCCTCCCGTTCCTCAACAAGACAGGCAGGATCTTGCTTAGCAGTCTCCACACTGCTCTTCCCTCCGCCCTGGGCATTTATCTGCATTACTCAAAGCCCACGTTATTCCATCTCTGTTTAACTCACACCTTTTGAGAGGCCTTCACTGACCACTCCTTCTAAAATCTCTTCCCCTCTCCTCATTCTCATGTTCCTTGTTGGCAAGTATCGCTTGTTTCAGTCACCCGTCTAGATGGACAGCTCCACAAATAGTCTTGGTTTTGCTGTCGCATCCCCAGCACTAAAACCTTGCCTAGCAGGTGCTCACTTCACTTGTCCAAGGAATGGATAGCATACTGGAGGGAGAGCCAGCTTCTTGCTTGGGACACTGGACAGGCAAATCATTTCTTCTCGCCTCAGTTCCACCATCTGTAAGGGCACTGGTTGGTTATGCCTACCCTTCCCATCTCCCTGGGTATAGGCTCAAATAAAAAGAATAACGTGTACAGACGCCCGCGAAGCATAGCAGTAAGTGGATACCGAGCGTTATTACGCCGTGCGCTCGGCCGCCCTTTTTCCGCACGGAGAACCCCCTCCGCTTCCATTTTCCAGCGCCCCCGTCCCGGTGATCCACAGACCCTCTGTGGGCGGCCGCCGCCCGCGTCCCGGCCTGCGGGCCCGCGTCTGGGCACGCCCGCCCAGCTCCCGGCTGGCGCCCGCCCGCCTCCAAATACAGCAGCGGCAGCGACAGCAGCAGCAGGAGGAAGGGGAGGCGCCGAGGGAGGGGTCTTCGGCCGCCGCGGGAGGCCGCATAGCCGTCCCGTCACGGCGTCAGCGCCGGCCGGGGCCGAACCCGGAAGTGGCCGAGCCCGCGCGCCCGGCCGTCCCGCCGCCGCCGCCGCCGCCGCCGCCAAGCCCAGAGTGCGCTAGCGGCCATGGTTCCTGCGGCGGCGCCGGGCGCCTGAGCCCCAGGNCTATAATAAACAGAATTAATTTTAATTTTAATGTGGAAAACAGAAAATAACAAGTGCTGAGGATGTGGAGAAAACGGAACATTAATATATAACTGCTAGAATATGAAATGGTTTAGCAATGTGGAAAACAGTTTGGCAGTTCCTTAAAAAATTAAACATAGAACTACCCTAATGATTTGGCAATTTCACTCTGAGGTAAATACACCCCCCCCCCGCCAAAATTGTAAACATATACTTAAACAAATACATGGAGATGTATATTCATAGCAACAATATTCACAACAGCTAACAGGTGGAAACAGCTCAAATGCCCATCAATAGATGAATGGATTAACAAACTGTTGCATGTAAATACATTCAAATAGTATTCAATGTCTAAAAGAAATGAAGTCCTGATACATGCTACAATGTGGATGAACCTAGAAAATACTGTGTTAAGTGAAAGAAGCCAGACAAAAAAGCTCACATATTGTCTGCCTACATAGAAATATTCATAATAAATGAAGCATATCAGTAATAGGTAAATCCTCAGAGACAGAATGCAGACTGGTGGTTGCAAAGGCTAGAGGGAGAAAGAACAGGGAAAGACTGCTTAATGAGTATGGAATTTTCTTTTGGGGTGAGGAAAATGTTTCTGAACTAGACAAATGTGGTGATTGTATAACACTGTGACTGTAGTAAATGCCACTAAATGTCTCACTTTAAAAAGGTTAAGTTTATGTCAATTTCACCTCAAATAGAAAGCAAATAACATACAATTTTCCTCATTTCTCTTATTGATCTGAGTCTCCATTTCTATATAGTGGTGAAAATATTAGATACGCTCAACAACCATTTGTGGTTTAAAGCTCGATATCTTGTGATAAGTAGTCTTTCAGGATTTTCAAGTTGATCTTTATTTAAACCATCATTCTGTCAGTGATCCACCCACTTTTGTTTATTTCAGGGATGGCTCTCACCATATGAATATGGTGTGGCTGGGGGGTGCGGGTAGTGTGGATAGAGTTGCTTCTTCCCTGGTTATCATCTAGCATCATTCATTATTGAAATTATAAGTAATCTGTCCTCTCTGCTTGGACAATGTGTACTGAGTACCCTGCTGGGTGGTGATGGGCCATTAACTGTCTCTGAGAGGTCCAAGAAACACCTCCATTCTTACACACAGCTGGGTGGCTGCCCACAGCCTTAGCCCCTCACCTCATGCACAACCCTGCTTGGGCACTCAGAGACATTTGGTTACTGTCCATGCTACCCTTGGGCATGCAGAGAAAGTCAGGGCCCCGTCTGTGCCTTTCTCCATGCTGGAAACACCAGGATGTTATCACCCTTGCCCGTCCCTCCTGCCTTGACCCCTGGAGAAACCTTCAGGGATGCTGCTTTCAATGACGGATCCTAGCTATGTTAGGATTCTCCAAACAGAGAGAACATGTGTGTCACACACACAGAGAGATTGATTTTTGAGAAACTGGCTCACAACCGTGGATGCTATCAAGTTTAAAATGTGTGGAGTGAGCTGGCAAGCTGAAGATTTAGGTAACGGTGGATGTTACAATCTTTATCCAAAGGCTAGAATTCAAGTTGAATTTCTCTTTGGTAGTCTAGAGATAGCATTCCTTCTTCTTTAACAAACATCGGCCTTTGCTCTTTAGGTTTTCAACTAAATAGACAATGCCAACTCACACTGTGGAGAATGATAGGCTTAACTTAAAGTCAACTGATTATAAATGTAAATCACATCTAAAACATGCTTTTACTGCAACATTCAGATGGATGGTGGACCAAATAACCGGGTACCATGTTGCACCGAATTGAAATATAAGATTAACCATCGGCCCGCCCGTGCCGCCTCCGCCGCCGCCGCCGCCGCCGCCGCAGCCCCGCAGTCGGGCGAGCGCGGGAGCAGCGCAGTAGACGGAGCGCGCCCGGCCGAGCGGGCCATGGCCGCGGAGGCCGCCGCCGCAGGTGGTGGGGCGCGGTGAGGCAAGCGCGGCGCCCCCTCTGGGGCGGATGGAACGCGGCTTGGCGGGCGGGCAGTGCCGGTGTCCGCGGCTGGAATGGTGCTGGCGGCGGCGGTCGGTGCCTGCGTTCTGAAGCCCGAGAGGAGCCACAATGGAGACGCCGCCGCTGCCTCCCGCGTGAGTGAGCTGGCGGGCGGGCGGGCTGTGCCGCTGCGGATAAGCGCGCCGCTGCGGCGCGTGTCGCCGGCCGCGGGCGCAGCTTGGGGTACGGCCGCCCGGAGCCGCCGGGGCCGGCGGGAGGTGGGAGATGCGGGGCGTGACGAGGCGCGGTGCCCGCAGTCCTCAGCGGACGCGGACGGAAACTCAGCTTCGCCAGGCGGTGACTTAAAACGCTGCCCAGGATTTCTAGGGAAGGGTCTTCCCCATGCCAGGCGGATAGAAGATTCAGAGTGGGGCTGTGCATGGGGGACCCTGCCGGTCCTGTGTGCACCTCCCTGAAATGCATGGGCAGCTGGTGCCCAGCTTGCCCACCCCTTTCTAGGGGATCAAGCTAGGATGCACGGAGTCCGTTGTAAAAAGGAAACTGGAAAGTACCAGTCGCCCGCTGTCTAAACGAATTGATCTTAGGTTGCTTGATTCCCCGAATTTCTAACAAAATTAATATCTGAGGAGCTTTTACATCACTCTAAAATGAGCAGCGGCCTTTCAGGGCATGTGACCTCTTTTACCTGGCACGCAGAACGTTTTATCCAGAAATCAGAGCATCTTCTGTTTTCCTTAGTACCTCGGGCAAATTAGTAGCGTATCGACCTGCCAGGCACAGGTGTCTTTTTTCTTTGGTACCCTGGTACATTCAAGATCACTGGCAACAGAATTATTTTCTGAAAATAATAGCTGAAACATGTAGAAGACGTTATTGCATTATTCAGAACAAGGGTTTTTTTTAATTTTAGTTTTTAGTTTTAAAAACATCTTGGTAAAAGTGGACTGTAAATACCCAGGAGTTTTGAAAATTTCAATTTTGATTCCCTCTTCTCTTAGGAAGGAGTAAGAGTCCTTTGAATCTGACTTTTTAAACCAGAGACAAATCTAATCCTGAAGAATGGTGTACCTTTTCATGAGAGCTTATTCATGGAGGCTTGTCGTTCTCCGGTTAGATATGGCAAGCTTCAACTCCATGGCAATTGTACCGCACCAGCCTCTTGTGGTTATTTGGCAGAATTCCAGCCAAAATAAGAATATTTGGCTTGGGTTGAATAATTTTTTGATATTCAGCCCTTTTGGGAGAACTAATGGGATTCTGAAACGACAATTTCCAAAGGGGTGTTTCAGAATGTTTAGCTTGAGTGGAACAGGTCCTGGAAATGTAGCGGTAGATGATAAAGACTCCTGGATTGGCCCTCTTGGTCTGACAGAAGCAAGGGCTTAGCCTCCTCTCGATAGACTTTGAGGGCTCTGAGATCTAGTCGTGTTCTTCAGCAGGCTGGAGGAAGGCACTTGAACCCCTAGGAAATATGATGGTGGATGGTTAACATCAGCAGAATGAACACATGGGGGTCTGCCCAGGCTCAGAAGCACTTGAAGCAGGATATGCTAGCTGTATTTAGACAACACATGGTATACAATATGTAACATGTAGATATGTTATCTGTAGTAAACCTGCCTTCTATGTATCAGTTCTTGCAGTTCCTTTTTACTTTTGGAACAGAGAGAACTAAAGGAAAGAACAAGAGAATCTTAGAATGCAGGTGAAAAGAAAGATGTGGAAAAGCAGGCAGGCTCTGGTGGAAGGGGATAGAGACACAGATTATTTAAATTGAAATAATAAGAAATGAAATTGATGTATGCATGCAAACACTGATAAACTGACTCTAGGGTAGATCAGCTAATCGTGATTTTGATGACCAGCACCATTTTTTTGGTATTGAGATTCCATCAGTAGTGCTGGAACAATGAGAGGCTGAGATATAATGGAAAACCTGGAATGCCAGCATGGATGAAAGAATTGTTAAAACTCCTTTCAATCGTGGGTAGCTAAAGTTGGTGAGACTTTTCCATTGGTTCTATTTAATTATGAATACAAAACGGTTTTTATTTTCATTTCATTAATTCCGGGATTAATCCTAATTGTAAAACTCATTATTTGCCTTTCTGTGGATCAGAATTCGTTTTTTTCCTTGCCACCCCTTGGCCTGTTTGCCTCTACTCCTGTTAACATCCCTCCACCATGGATCACGTGTGCTAGATTTGAGACATGCAGGCAGTGTCTTTAGGAAGGAACTTTACTGGGCCTCACTGCCAGAGCTGGGCTAGGACAGAGGCCAGTGGAAACTATTAGGAAGACTCAGCTTTTCATAAAGTTAGATTTTTTAGCCTGAGCTTTAAGGCAAAGAAAGATGTTTGACCTGGACTTAAGGTACCTTAGATGCTGTGGTTGGAAGCAGGGCCCCAGATTATCTTTGGGTTAAGTGTCTGTTTATTAATTCATTCAATCTGCAAATATTTGAATGCCTGTCTCTGCCTGGCACTGTGCGTGGTGCCTTTGCTTATGCTTCCCTTTTAACAACAAGATTTACATTGCTCTCAGATCCCACCTCGTACTCCATTGGCCTGTTGGCACATTGTCTTGGAGGGATATGAGGCATCTGTACCCACCTTCCTGTTTCCTTCAGGATGGACTCCTTGGAATTAGCTTTTGATCTCTTGTGCTTTTTCTGTTCCTTGCCTCCAACTTCTTCTCATCCTTTTTAATTCTGATATAATTAAAAAGTGTCATTGGACTATATATTTCTGCTTATTGTACTTTGCAACCTTGAGTCTATGTGGCATTTAGATTCGGTTGCATTTCGGGGTTTGGGTGATACTGAGACTGTGTTACATTTGCTTCTGCTCAAATCTTAAAGATGTGTAACTGAAAAATTAGATGTAGATTAGTAAAGGAATTTCAGGTAGTAAATTGAGAGATGCAGTTTAGATGTAGTTTAGTAAAGGAATTTCAGATGGTAAACTGAGATGTGCAAAAGGAAATGTAAATTGACCAGCCCTGACTTCAGGAATGTATTTTACAGTCTGGCTTTTATGGTTATTTCTGTAAAGATTTTCACAGTAAGTTGAAGGAAGACTGTGAGGTATAGGCCTGAGTGCATCCCTTCGATCTTCTCTTACTGATCAGTTTTCTTAGCACTTGTTTTCTTTACTGGCTCCATTTTTACAACTTGGCTTACTCTCTATAAGCCTTGAGTTTTTTGCTTTTCTTTAACAAAACGAAGCAAACATACCTCAGATATAACCATACCCTTTTTTCAGTTGATGATTCCACATCGCTAGAGATTTGTCATCAGAGGTGTTCATGCATAGGCAGCCAAACAACTTGTTGACCATGTTTTAAGGCATTTAGGCAGCAGAAGATTGGTTGGATTAGAGCACAGGTTCTCACATTTTTTAATTTCTCTGACCTGTAAAATTAAAAAAAAAAAATTGAAGTCTAGCAGAGAATTGCTGAGTTTTTTGTTTTGCCAAGTAAAATAATTATCTATGAAACAACAATGATCACCTATCACCATCTTTTTATGACAGAAAAAAACATTTTAACATCCTTCAAATATAAGGAAGGATGTAATCTGACTAAATTTTTTTAATTTAAAAAATTTAGCTTTATGAAAACTTATTACATTGTCCTCATTTTGTAAAAATGAGCAGTAAAAAGTTCAGTGAAGCCTGACATTTGCAGTCCACTGAACCAGATGATCTTTAATGTTCTTTCTAAGATTCAATTGCTATGAATTTGGAACCTTGCTACGGGTTACCCCAGTATTCATTTGTTTGTCTGTTATAGTGCATTGGTGTGTATTCTTATTTTTGTTTAATTAAATGTACATAGGACATCTCTCATATCACAGGCGAATCTCCCCAGTGATAAAAATGTTTAAAATATTGAGGAGTAATAATGGCACACACGCAAGTTAATGGTGAAGAAGACGTGGATCAATGTGTGTTGAAGGAGGTGTTGCATATAGGGACAACTTTGAGGTGCATTTGGGAACTTGAGAAGTGAATTCTGGAAATAGGTAGCATTTATGTAGTAGTTTGAAAAATTTCTGATACTGGGAAATCACTCTACCTACTCCCCGCAAAATGCCCCAAACCTTTTGTTTCTGATGCACGTGGTAGGCATTCAATAAATATTAAGTAAATGTGCTTTTCTGAAAATGACTGTAAATTTACTCAGCTATGGCTGTTATGGATTTACACTAGGAGCACTTATGAAAACCATTGAACTTCTTTCTTAAGATCAGGCAGGTTTTTTCAAGATGATCCAGAGAAGGAAATACATTTTCAATTGCATTTCTGTAGTGCTCTACCAAATCCAAATGCATTTACTGTTTATGATGAGGCAGTTTGAGATTTTAATTTATATTTGTTGAGTGCCTACTATGGCCAGATTTTGGGGATTTCTCAGAAAACGAAGTTCCTTTTCCTATGATTGAAACTAATAGCAAGCAAATATGTAATATTGTTAGTAGTAAGTATAGTAAATAAAAATGAAGCAGGATAAAAGGGTAGAGAATAATTAGAATAGTAGTTCAACTAGGATCAGTGTGTCTTTGATGAGGTGATATTTTAGCACAATCCAGAGGGGGAATGGCATTCCAGGTGGAGAGAATAGCAAGCGCAAAGGCATTCTTGAATTCTTCTGATGAGATAATTGCGGCAGTGAGTGGGTCAGTATAGTTTTTGTGTGTTACGCACTGTACTTTCTTACCTTTCAGATATTGGCATTTGCTAAAATATTCCTTTGATCAGTTCCATTCTCTGATTTTACCTTGAAAAACAATCCCTGCATTTTATGACAGCACTTTTTCTTGTTTTCCTTCTCTGGTTTTTAGGTTGCTAAATGTTATTTGCATACTTTATAACTTTATCTCAATCTTGTCAACAATATTATATTGGTAGGTGTCTTATTTGTCAGCTGAAGAAGTAGAGTTTAAGTTACTTTCTCAAGCTCATCAAGTCTTAGAAAAACTGGGATTCTAATCTTGCTGTTGAATCACTTTTTTCTGTCTTGCATGGCTTCTCTTCTGTCACGTTTGCGGGCAGTATTTCCTCACAGAAGTAGGCCTCGGCCAGTTCTTTTCAATCAACTGTTAATCTCTAAGTTATAGCTCCATTTATATCTT